ACGTCCACGGTTCCATCCTCCACCTCGACCTTTGTTGCCATGATCAGAATAAAGGAGATTAGTAGTCTCTTCAGCCTTTTGTTCTCCTCGCAAACTCTCTTCACCTTTCAGTCGTTCTTCAAAAGCTTTAAGTCGACCTACTATGTCTTCGTATCTTGTGTCGTTTAGGTCAAGTACTTGTTCGAGTGTTGCTGAAAGCTGAAGATACTTGCTTGGTAGACAAGAGAGAAACTTCTTAACGAGTTTCGGTTCCTCAATTGTTTTGCCTAAAGATGCAGCTTTTGCTGCGTATTCTGATATCTTCCCTGAGAACGTGTATATGGATTCTGTGTCTTTCATTCTTAAGCGGTCAAACTCGATGTTTAGAGTGACCAAACGAGCTTCAATGACACGATCAGCTCCGAGGTTCATCAACTTTAACGCTTCCCACATATCTTTAGGAGTATCTTGATCTCCAATTTGCAGGATTAAGTTTTCTGGAATTCCTAGGAATAGAAGAACTGTCGCTAAGTTGTTTTTCTTTTGATCCTTTGATCCAGGATCAATGGATTCCCATACTTCATGAACTTTTAACAGTACTTTCATTCTCATTGACCAGACAGCATAAGTTGTTGAGGTGAGCATCGGAGGTACGATCGTAGAGGACACTGTTCTTAACTTCATCAGCGCTTTTGATTCGGTTTCGTCCATGATCTTTTCTTGAACTTTAAAGAACCTGGAGCTCTGATACCAAATAAAGACTCAAGGATCGTATTTGTTTAACACACAGGTTTATAAAACAGTAGCTTCGTTTTATATCTTTCTTAACTTCTTGAGATCAACTTACAATATAGATCTCCTTATATAGTTAATAGGAGTCCTTATCTTTTCCTATTACATATTAGATTAGGAACCTTAGCTTTATCCTAATCCTACTAGTTATTCTACTTAACTTAATGAATAACTTGTTTCCTAAGTAATCTTCTTTGAAGCTTATCCAACAAGAAGGACATGCCAAAGCTCAAAGAGATGCTCTTGGAAAGGCTGCTACCCAAGATAGAGCTCATGCTGGAAGGGCAGCTGCAGAAGCTAGAGAAAAGGCTGGGAGAGCTGCAGCAGAAGCTAGAGAGAAGGCTGGACGAGATGCAGCAGAAGCTTGGAAGAAGGCTGGACGAGATGCAGCAGAATCTTGGAAGAAGGCTGGGAGAGATGCCGCAAAAGGTAGAGAAAAGGCTGGGAGAGATGCTGCAGAAGCTAGAGAAGGCTGGACGAGATGCTGCAGAATCTTGGAAGAAGGCTGGCAAAAAATGCCGCTGAAGGTAGAGAAAAGGCTGGGAGAGCTGCTGCAGAAACTAGAGAAAAGGGTGGACGAGATACCGCAGAATCTTGGAAGAATTATGGGAGAGATACTGCAGAAGCTAGAGAAAAAACAGGGAGAGATGCAGCTGTAGCTAGAGAAAAAGCTGGACGAGATGCAGCAGAAACTTGGAACAAGGCTGGACGAGATGCCTCAGAAGCTTGGAAGAAGGCTGGGAAAGATGCAGCAGAAGATAGAGAAAAAAACTGGGAAATATGCCGCAGAATCTTGGAAGAAGGCTGGGAGAGATGTAGCAGAAGCTAGAGAAAAGGCTGGACGAGATGCAGCAGAAGCCAGAGAAAAGGCTGAGAGAGATGCTGCAGAAGGTAGAGAAAAGGCTGGACGAGATAGCGCATAATCTTGGAAGTAGGCTGGGAGAGAAGCTAAAGAAAGGGAAAATGCTAAAGCTCGGGAGAAGGAAGCAAAGGTTTAAGGAAGAATAAGCTGCTGTTGAAAGGGCAGCTGCTGAGGCATGTGAAAATTCAATTTTATTTTTGTCTTATTTAGTTTGATTTATGTACATGTCATTTCAACCTTTTCCCACCACTGTATGCATTAGTAGACTTGTATTTGGATCTGATAATGATGACATACAATTCTTGAATAAGGGAACTAGTTGCTTAGAAAGATGAACGTGATATTAGGAGAAGCTGAAAGAATAGTATTTCAATACTCTGCAATCGGTTTCATGTAAGAACCACACCAGATCTCCTATTGTTACCGAGATGGAACTTGCTAACCACGAAACATGACTAAGCTAAAGACCCTTGAATACTTTTATCAGTCGGAGCACATAACCTTCATGATGAACATCAGTCTTTTACAAATAGTCAGTGTTCAAGATTTTGCGCTAATTTGTTTTTTGGTAAAACATAATTCTATGAACCAAAACACAATATATCAAAGGAAGACACACTTAGGACTTGAGATCATTGACAAAATATAAAGACTTACTTCATTTAACTACATGTTTCTTCATAGACGTAATTTGTTTCAAGTTAGGATTTTTCACGAATCTAGATATTCTTTTTAAACAAAAGGAATTTTCTCTAGAATAATAAATCACTAATTTTATAGCTTGTTTGTATAAATATCTCCAAACATTAATACTATGATCATAAACTGGTTTGTGTATTATTACCATATACTATGTTATAAATAGGTTACTCTAAAAACAATAATATGTTTGGTTTAAACAGAATGGGAATGTTCAATATATATTATGTTCTCCATTTATCAAACATGAGCTATGAAAACTAATCAATGGAAAGGATAGAGTGTACGGTTGCATAGTTGGTGGCCCAAACAAGTTATATAGTTTTTGTATAGTGGATGAAATCAGTCACATATTATAAAACTAGGATAAGACTCGCGTCTTGCGCGGAATGAAGTTATTATTTTTATTATGTTTTGGAAAATGAAACAAAAGTTTGGTTTTATCTAGATTAAGGATGTTCAATCTGGATATCGGTTTTCAGTATTTTGGTTATTAAAATATAACTACTATTCTAAATCCATATTTACTTTAGTTTGATTTAGTTTATATATTGGTTTTCAGTTTATTCAATTTTATACCAAAATACATCATTATTTAGTTTGAAATCATATTATATATTATAAAAATAAATAATATGATCATATTTAGAGTCATATTGTCAAAAAGTCATTTACTAAAAAAAATATTATATATTTAACTAAAAGAATAAAAAACAAAGAAAAGGCTTCTATGATCTAATAAAATGATCAAATCTAGAATTAATATCAAATCTCTAAATTTTGAAAATAAAAATAAAAACAAAAGAGAAGCATGAAAGAAAAGTTTTTATATGCTTCCATATTTAGTGTTCATCAAATTAATATGTCTTCGATTGAACACAACTCTGTTTGTTTAAATATTAAAAAAAATTGTAAAGACTTCCAACTAATTGTTGTCCATCAAATTTATAATTCTTACTTCAATTTAGTTTTTATTAAAAAAAAAAAGAAAAAAAGATAAAAAAAAAAAGAAAAAGAAAATAAGAAGCCTCAGTTGCATTAAATTGTTAGTTGATTATATTTCAAGTGATTCAAGTGATTTACAAATCATAATTATAATTCAACTCATGTAACAAATAGATATACATATTTACATATTCCAGTTTAATCGATTATAAATCAAACCATATCCAAATCTTACGTTTTTTTATAAAATCACATACATTCGGTTTGTATGGTATATACCAAAATAACCATATTATCGATTGTGTTAATATCTTTAAAAAATAGAAAATTAAAAAAAAGAACTAATATATTTAAATCATTGATAACAAAAAATTTCAATGTGAAAAATTTAATACGTTTATAATTTATAAATGTTCTTGAAAATTCATTGAAATTTTTGAAATTAAAATAAGTATGTAATCTTATATGGTATATAGTTTAATCTATATATATATATATTTTTTTTATTGAATGATACTTTTTACTCATATGGTTTTAAAATCATGTGTATCTTTTTATAATAAAAATGTTAAACTATTGATCATTAATTTTTAACATAATAATTTTAATAGTTTTAGTCATTTATTCTTGGTTTTTTAAATTCAAAATATAACATATATGAAAAAAATCTAAAGTTTAATTTTATAGCTAATTTGATTGTTTGATTTATTTTAATACATAAAATTAAAGAAAAATGATGGAGGAGATACAAATTGTTATCAAATATTTATTATTAGAAACATTAATTGTCATATATATATATATATATATATTTGTCATTTATGGTAATCCCGTAGCTTTTATTTAAGGAAAGAAAATAAAATAGTAATTATATCTAGCAGGACAATCATAAATGCTTCTATCATAAATATCATATCATATAGTTTGACCAACAAATATATCTAGCGACATATAAAAATCGAATGTGGACTTACTTATTTTTCAATTGAATGTAATTGACTACCTAATTGAGTGACACGTAAACATGAGCTCTTTTTTAATTATTACAAAATTGAGGTTACAATTTTTCAAATGTTTCTCAATTAATATATAGGGGATTAGCGAGATATGTTTAATTACAAAAGAGTAATATACTATATGGTATGTATAAGGTTATAGTAACGTATCGTATCGTGGAGAAAGAAAAATATTGACTAATAAGAGTATTGTATAATAAATAAGAATATTGACTAATGTATTGTTAGAGAAATATAGGATAAATTATATGATATAATGTTATTGAACAATATGCTTAGAAAAAAAATTAGGGAAGACAAAAAAAGTTAGTTTAACGGTGCACAGTAATATTTCATAGATAGTAGTTTTTTTAGACGCCAAAAAGAAGATAAATTTTTAGGACTTCTTCCTTTTTAATAATATAGATATTGTAATAAAATTAGTGCATAAAAAATTGATTTTTTAAGACACTTTCCATTTTAATATCATCAGAACATACTTTGAATACAAATTATGAATCATTTATAACTAGAATGAGCAAACTTACTACAGTGAAAATATTACTTTTTATTAATAAAAAGATGATTTTATACATACATAACATATATAGAGAGAGAAAGAGATCAGCAAAATATGTATAATACGTATATTAACATAGAGGAAGGACAGTTCCAGAGGTAGTTGGAAAATCACCGTTACTCCCCTCTCCGACAACGAATCCACCGGTTTAATCCACATCCAGTCTGACGGTAGGTTTCCGTCTATATTTCTGATAAGTAATCCCACGAGCCTTACCTTGATTATCTTTGACTTCCCTCAGGTAAACCCCAACGGCGCGTGCAGCAAATGGATTTGGATCCGACCGTCCACCGTATTCATCGTAAGCAGCTCTAAGTCGTCCGATCAACGAGTCGAGAGATCCCCAAGCTTGCTTGTGCGGACAAGCACAAGGAGAGGCTGGATCCGAGTGGCCGAAGAAAAAACATGTTGTCACGTGGACTTTGGTTTTTCCGAATTGGTCTAGGTACTTGAGGAACTCGATCACGTGCACGCCGCTGCACCTTGTTAGCGTTAGAGGGGGTTTGTGGTTTCTTAGGTATTGTAGAAACGTGTTCCAGTCGCGGCGTTTTTGCGATTCGTAACGACTTGGTGGTGGTGCTGAGGAGGATGAGGGACTTGGGTCGGGTCTGCATGACCCGGAAGTGGCGGGTTTCATGGAGTTTTTTTTATTACTTATTTACGTTCTTGTGAGTATTTTAGAGAGAAGAATGTGTGCAGTTTTGATTTTGTTTAAAATATGGATGGTGTGAAAGAGAGTTATGTAAGAGAAGAGACAGAAGAGTAGAAATTGACAAACGTTGAATTCACGTGGCTAATGTCCATTCACGTGGCTAATGTCCCTACCAAAAATCAACCTGACTAGTTTTGATGAAGAGTAGATTTTTTCTTCAGTTTTTAATTGACTAATATTACATCCGAAATGGTACCAGTTGGTAGTATTCGGCTTACATAACCACATAGTGAATTAGGCTAGACACAGAACATCAATGTTGATAGACTGATACATGTCTAATTTAGTGATGACCATCATCATCTGTTTTGAATCATTTAAAAATGTGTTATGGTTTGATTAATTTATTCAGTTTAAAATGAAGGCTTGGTGAATGACCGGTTATTGGAATCTCACTAAATCTTCCCATTACGAACTGACAAGACTTCACCATGTTGGGTAATTCCAAGCTTGTGGAAACTTAATATATTATTAGATGTTTAAATGTTAAGAGATAAAAACAATAAGGAAATCTAATAATAGAAAAGGGAAATTTTCTATTAGATTAGGTTTGTGTTTTCCATATCCCACATGTTCAAGGGAATTGTCTTGCATATATATAGAGATCTATGGAGAGGTGTTCCATAAGACCTAAGAGGATAGATCATAAGAGATCTAAGAGAAACATTGAGAGATTTAGTTTGAGTAGCTTCTAAAGCTAATAAGAAAAATTGTTCTTATAATTCTTTGTTTCTAGAGATTTGAATTGGTATCAGAGCTTAAGTTGAAGTTCTGATTCAAACTTGAATTGGTATCAGAGCTCCTTAGATTGGAGACTCAATCTAAGCTTAAGTTGAAGCTTTGATCCTGGTGCTTGTGACCAAGAGATCACGCGAGCATGATGGCGGACGTGACTAGGGCTCCACGCACGAATGACCTTGGAACTAAATCCATCCAATGTCCTATGTTGTCATCGTCAAACTATACCGTTTGGTCGATGAGGATGAAGGTTATGATGCATGTTCATGAAGTACGTGACACGATAGAACATGGTTCGGATGATCAAAAGAAAAACGATGTTGCGATTGCTCTTTTGTTTCAATCCGCTTCCAAAAACTTGATTCTCTAGGTGGGAGAACAAGTCGCTTCCAAAAGCTTGATTCTCCAGGTGGGAGAACAAGCCGCTTCCAAAGACATCTGGAACGCCATCAAGTCACGACACCTTGGAGCTGTTCGTGTAAGGAGGGCGAGACTTCAGACGTCATTCAAAGGAATGACGAGTGTAACACACAAAGAAGGCGTGTGTGACGCAAATTTTGCAGGGAAGCATATCAGACACTCATTCCCGAGTGTAACACACGAAGAAGGCGTGTGTGACGCAGTGAAGGAAAATAGACACTCATTTCCGAGTGTAACACACGGAGATGGCGTGTGTAACGCATGTCTAACAGAGAAGCAAATTAGACTTGAATTCCCGGCTATACTATTGAAGAAGAAGCATGAGGTATTCAGTCGGTTCAAAAGGTTGAAGGAACCCATCAGAAACTTTCTCGCCGATAGAGGAGAAGAGTTTGCCTCAGCTAAGTTCAATATAGGTTTCACCGATAGAGGAGGAGAGTTTTCCTCGGTTAAGTATAATCTAAGTTGCATCGATCGAGGAGGAGAGTTTACCTCAGCTGAGTTGAAGTTGCCAAACTACTTATGGGTTGAAGCTATGGTAGCCGAGATGGAAGCTATCACAAGAAGAAAGACGTGGGAGCTTGTAGATAGACCGCCATCTAAACCTACATGGTTAAGGTGGATCGACAAATTCAAGGAGGAGATGAAATCAAGATAAAGGAGGAGAGTCCTGCTCAAGGAATTTGGTGTGACATAGATATTGAAGTGTGTAACATGACTCAAGTTCCAACGGCGTCGAGTTACAAGTTGTCAAAAGTTGGAGACGAACTAGACATAAATGCTCAAGGAATCATGTGTGACACACAGATGGAAGCGCGTAACACAACACATGTACCAGTGGAGCATGTGGTTAGACCGACTGGTGTTAAACATACAGAGGTATGTAACACAAAGATGGAAACGTGTAACGCTACTCATGCAGGGGTATGTGATACACAGATGGAGACGTGTAACACGACTCACGTATGTGACACAAAGACGGAAGTGTGTAACACATCTCACGTACGCAAGATGGCAGACGTGACCAGAGTGAGTTTCAGCTGCAAGACTCATCGCAACTTAAGTGAAGAGGCCATGAGAAGGTTCTACAAGAAATCGGCCAATTCTAAGAAGAGGCGGTACAAAAGTGAGGAGAACATCCAATCTAACCTTGAGAAAGATGTGGATCCAATGGGTGGATTCGCATACTATCGTATGGTGATGGATGATTACTTGAGGATTAAGTTCAAGCAAATGAGGAGCTTAATTGGAGTTCAAGAAATTGATCTCCCTAATTCAAGTTGGAATTAAGGGGGTGAATGTTGGGTAATTCCAAGTTTGTGGAAACTTAACATATTATTAGATGTTTAATATGTTAAGAGATAAACACAATAAGAAAATCTAGAAATAGGAAAATGAAGTTTTCTATTAGATTAGGTTTGTGTATTCCATATCCCACATGTTTAAGGGAATTGTCTTGCATATAAATAGAGATCTATGGAGAGGTGTTCCATAAGATCTAAGAGGGTAGATCATAAGAGATCTAAGAGAAACATTGAGAGCTTTAGTTTTGAGTAGTTTCTAAAGCTAATAAGAAAAGTTGTTCTTATAATTATTTGTTTCTAGAGATTTGAATTGGTATCAGATCTTAAGTTGAAGTTTTGATTCAAATTTGACACCACCCTTATAATAGGAAAGGAAAGAAACAACTGAACGTCTCATTTGATCCATATATACATCAAGTCAGAGCCGGCCCTTGATAGAAGAGATGGAAGCCAGTGCTTCCAACAGCAAAATAATATTTGTTTTACCGGCCACATTTAGACAAACAACTCCTAATAGCATTAGTGATTGTGTTGCCGCTGTATACATAACAGGTTGAAGGTTCAAAATTCTTCTCCCACATTTATACAAACAAGTTCTAATAGCATTAGTGATTGTGTTGCCGCTGTATACATAACAAGTTCAGGGTTCAAAATTCCTCTCCTACATTTTACCGGCTCTGCATAATGTACACAATTTAGTCATAGATTTTCCAAAAAATCTACACTCAAACTGATCTAAGAAACCTAACTATGTAAATTATAAAGTATGAATATACTTATCATGGTATACGAAACAGAAATGATGTATTGGTTCTGTAATGAAAAGTAACACAAATGCCAGTATATACATTTTAACCAGAAGTACTATTTGTGATTTAGTATCATTTTTGCAAATATATAACTGAATTCACAATATCATTATATATAATTTAAAGTAGAGATTATGATATTTTCTTAGTCTAGATATGCACGTCACTATTTTTGTACCTTGATAACATTTGTCACAATAATACAACTAATAGAAACCATTAACTAAATTACAAATATCTGTTTTAGTCTTCACTTTACACCCGTTAGAAAATCCGTTAATTGAGCTATCCAACGGTTACATTCACTATGTTAAATTAGTCGGATGCTAATAAGAGGGAAGATGGTTCATCCATAAACCAAAGGAAAAACACAAGGAAGAAATAAGAAGAAAACACACACACACACACACACAAAAGAAGAAATAAAAAGAAGAGAACCTTGCATATGTCGCACGTCACGTCTTTTTGTTGCCATGCTGATATCAACAGTGAAGATGGAGTAACAAAGACACGGGCAAAACGCAGACCAAAACGCACCGAGTCCTTATCAAACCATACATGATAAATAATAATAATATTAATAAGGCAAAGACTTTTATTCAGGATCCGGATTCGATCCGAGATTCGCTCCAGATCCGCTCCGAAATTAGGATATCCGGGAGTGCCTAGATTCAAATCCGGATAGTAAAATCTCGGACCCTTGCAAACCAAATCCGCATCCGGATATCTTAATTTTTAGGTCTGAATATCTCGATTCGGATCAGAATTTTTAAAAATATATTAATTTTTTTATTTTATTATTAACTATATTTGATATATTAATACTTATACATAAAATAAATTTAATAATATTCTACTTTATATTAATAATATTATATGTAATTATAATTAAATATTTAGTTTATGTATTACTTTTAAATTTTTTGATTTTTTATTTTATTATTTTAATTATTTTTAGGATTCTGAATCCGAATCGGATACCCCCGGATATCAAAATATCTAGACGAATATCTGAGGTCTGGATATCCGGAAGACACGAATCCGAATCCGACTAATCCGGTTCCGGATCCGGATACTTCAAATTTCCCGGATATCCGTATCTCTCCCATCCCTAATACATAATGTCATTTTGGTTATTAAAAAAAATATTTATGTCCTTTTGCACTTATTAGGTTTGCATTATGAATTTGTGACATTTTAAATGAGATAGACAAAAACATAAAATGCATCTAATCAAACACATGTTTTAAGAAAAAAAATGGATTATAGTTGGGAGATCACTCTAATTTAATTGTAGGTAAAGAAAATAAGGTTGCTTCATTTATAAAAGTAGAACTAGAGCTTGACCTGTCCGACCGGACGAGTATTTATTTTATTTTTTATATAAATGAATATTATTTAAATGTCTATCCGTTAATATTTTTAAATATTTACCATATTTCTAATTTTTTTATAAACACAACAATCGAATAGTTTATGTGCTGTAAAAATAGTGATTTTTGTCCATTATTAAACTTTGAAAAATTAATATTGACCTATTGATAGTTTGAATAATATTTCTTGTAACATGAAATTGTTTGCCAAATGTAAAACGAATTTAAATATTTTGATCAGATATGGATAATATGGTAGTTTAAATATGTTTAAAATCTTA